TTATTAATAATTATTATTTTAATTAATTAATAAAATTAAACTTATTTTCTTTTATGTACTTTAAATACAATCATTACATTTGCCTGTGGCAATATTAGTAATTAGTCATTTTTTTATAAAGATCTTTGTGTACGTGGACCTTTTCCCAGAGGAAATTTTTACTGACTACAAAATAAAAAATGCAAGATAAACTATAGTCCCTATATTATTTTTAACTATTTTACAGTTAATAATTAGTAATATTTACATGTACTTATAATTATAATGCCTCACGGCTTATATTCTGTAAATAAATAAATAAATAATAAATTATAGAATATATTATATATAATTAATATGACTTTACTATATTGTTTATATAACACTGTTCTTCAGATACGGGTTTCCGCCGACGAGATGTAATTATTGATATTTATAAAATAAAATAAAACATTTTTAATATTGGTGACTATTTTCATCAAAGAGTTAACGTTTCAATGAGGTTTTCCGTGATATTGAAAAAAAACAATTTGTTAGCGCTATAAGAGATAAGGGACCTAGTACTTGGCAACCTTCACCCCCACTTTAAGCCCTGCTTGAATGACACGTAAAATATGTGCCCCGATAAGAAGAATAATCTCAATAATTATTATTTATCTACCGTAATAACCTAATGCGCATCAAGACAAATTTATCATCGCACAGACTCGACAATTTGACATGACGAGTAAACACATTATGACATCTTTCAGTGCAAAAGACAAATCAAGGTACATATTTTAAATGAAATCAATAATATTCTGTATAGTCTTAAAATCTATACTCGCCACGCTGTTGATTTTTCTTGAAATAATATTTCCACGTACTGTAAACAAAAATATAATTTATAGAAATATGATGGAAAAAATTTAATTTCTCGTATCGACCTATTTGAATCGTTGTTTCCGTCCGTTAATCGATCAAATAAGAATATGGTGAAGTTTTTCCTTGGCTTACCGTTATACGTCAAGCTTAGAACTATTCGTTTCCACGGGAAAGAGCAATATTTCGTCTTTGGAAGTTCCTATCTCGGCTGTGACACGGTGTTTGCTGATAAACCGGTGATAAATAGTAAACCAAGGCATCGAAATTCTTCGCCATACATTTGGATCGATACACGGTATACGTTCAATAACTTTTAGATGACCCATGACCAATCCTGAACAACCGTATCCTTCGAGAGTAATATATAGCTTATTAAAAAAGGTATATATATGTTACGGTAATTGTACGAATACCAGTGAAACCTAGGATTTACCGGTAAATCCTAGGATACACATTACTGCATGGTTAAACACCGAATGATTTTAGCAATTCGGGCTTTTACCAACGAGTTTTGGTAAATCATAAGATTAATAATCAATGATTTTAAAAGTTCGAAATTATATATTTTTTCCAATTAATAATTTTTCTACAGTAGGTAAAACCTAGGATTTACCGGTAAATCCTAGGTTTCACCAGTATTTGTACTATTACCGTAACAAATATATCTAAAGGCTTGTCTACAAACCAAGAATCTCTCGTTATCCCATAAAATGTTAAATTTCGAAAAATATGTTATTAAATATTATTATTATACATTGTTATTATTTTGTTAATACAAAAAGTTGATAATTAATTTACTAGGATACCAAATTGCCTAAAATAGCGTCCATCAAACATGGAATTTTGTTATACCACTGAAGCACCGCATTCGATATATGTTACATAATAACTCAAGCCCGGATTTTTATGTAAAAAATATTATTGAAAATGCACATATTTATTTACAAGAAAATTTAAAAATATGCATAAAAGATTCGAAAAAGATTCTTTATTATGAACTAAAAATATCATTACAAATATGTTACAACGCATAAATTATTACTATTAACTATTATTTGAAGATTACAGAATAAGTTATTATAACTCAACTATAAAAATTCAGGGTTAAAACCAAAAATTATTAATTTTGGAACAAATACTAAAACAAAGTTACAAAATTTGTTTCCAGATTTTTAAAAACTAACCTTTTACGGTTGTCACGTAGCATATATATATATATACATATATATACTTAAAAAAAATTATTTCTATATCACAAGAGACAGTGCCACACAGAGAGATGGTTAGGGGTGTCGACTAACACCCTACCGATAATTAGTGGATGGCTAATTCTGTGCGAACTTGTATGAATATTTGTTTAATTTAATACTAACCAATTTTTCAGCTATCCAAATCAACATACTAATTATGTTTACTCTAGAACTAAAGCGTCACATGAGAATAAGTAGTAGGGCCCAATCCTAAAAATTATGCTATACAAATTTATAAATTAATACCCAGATAATTGAAAAATAATTAATATAAGGTTTATTTAAAAAAAAAAAAATGTTATTAACTTAGTAAGAAAAAACCAAAACCACAAAACTGCCTTAAACTCAGATTTTACTGGTGGGGGTGGATGGGTACCTTGAAATATATATTTTCGACACCCTTGTCAAAAATCTTCTGTGCGCCATTGACAAGAAACTATTACCGCATATTTAAAATAAGTTATATCTTCAGGTAAACATTACACGCTTTAATTTTAAAAACTTATTCATCTGCTTAATATTTTAAAAATTGTTTTATTTGATAATACCCTAGATTTTTAGACAGTAAACCTACTTTTCAATAGTTAGCAAATTCTAAATCAATTCCTCCTTTTTTTTAAATAGATACAATTAAAATATTTTTTTATTTATTACTTATAAATCTATGATGTCCGTTTTTAACCGGTACACTATTTTTGTCATCAGTAGAATATATTTTTTTTTTTACAATCACGTATATTTGAAATCAATCATATTGGATGTAGAACGTTAAGCTATATAGTGAACTGTTGTATTTCGTATAATACTCTAAAAATTTATAGTGATACATTTTCTTATCGAGTATTCGCAAACCATTGCTATTTTCGTTAAAAATAAAATATGTAAATATGTATACATCTGTCGATCGTCAGTCATAGACGCTAGATTTCACCTTAAAATACGTTTCGGTTGTAACGTGCGTATCACTGCACCGAGGGACTGTTAAGTTGTCAGTTATCATCAGGGTACGGTTTTAAATCGTAAAACAAATCCCATCGATTTACGGGAAAGGAAGGGGGGAACCCGTTCGACGTCGATCGATTGAAACCATTCGTACGTCTCGATATTCTTCAAAGTTTAAACCGATGGCCTCAGGGAATAGTGTACTACCGGACCCGTTGGCGGAAAAAGAAACGTTCATTTTGACGGAAAACGGTTCCAACCCCCCCCCCCACCTCTTCGAACAACAATATACCGTTTATTTAACCATATGACATACGAAACATTTTCATTGTCAGGACTCTATAACAATGACCGAATGCTTTTTGAACTCTTCAACGTTACCTATACGTACAGTGGCGCCCAACTCAGAACTTTAATTCCGGTCATGACAATAGTCTTAGGGCGGTGGGTGATGCCGTGATGGATTTATATACGAGTGAATCGATCCGATTAACCATTGAACTACCTTTTTCGTAATCACTATTCTAGATGTTCAACGAGTACCTAAATGCGTAGGCACAACTAGGGAGGTTAGAGATTAAATAACAAATAAGATTTTTATCACCCCTGTATTCAAAAGTAGCGCTCCTGTTTTTTTTTTTCAGATCTTCATAATCCATAGTCATTACAGTTAAACACCATATAATTTTATTTTCAGCACACCCAATATTTGGGCTCTAGTTGCTGAAGCAGGTTTGAAACATGTTCGATAGGGGTTGAACTCGGTTTGAAATCTTATCGGTTCCCGTTTCGCGCGCGCTCCCATCGTGTACCAGTAACAAGTGTATAATGCGTAGAGATATGAACTCAGTAAATTTACCCGGTAAAATCTACAGGTAAAGATAAATTTACGTAAATTTTACCAAGTATTTTTTTACCCGATATTTTTTTTCATCATTGAAAAAAATTGAGTGACCCCTTATTTTAAATGTGTTTACTAGCGGAATACGTTTTATTCATTGTTGTAGAGAATATACTCATATATAGATATATGTATACCTACAACCGTGGTTTTATTTAGATAATCAGCGTAGCCCTTTTTTTTTCTCCCCCGTTTCTAAAACTAGGACCTAATAATCAGCGTAGCCTATACGACAATAAAATGCAGACACTGTATTCAGTATTTTAGTTTATTATCAGTGATGTATTGCTAAAATAAATCATGGGTATACGCCTTATTTCATATAGTAACAATCATATGGTAGGAACCAAAAAAAAACTCACTCATGAACTACACATCTTTAATTATGACTGATAACAGGAACTTGTTGTTAAATGATAACAAATTTGAATTTTTCATTAAAAAAAAAATAAAAAAAAATAATACTTATATATCCGATACCGAATCACGTCATAAATATAACCACAAGTTAGGTTAGTAAAGGTATTATGTAGTTATTTGTTAAATTACAAGCTACTATAAGCTATGTACGGCCGTATACCCGCGTATCATCAATTTCTCATAAGCTATACGCCATGGATAAAAATAGCGTATTGAGTATACGCTGTATACCCCCGTACACCCTCCAATAATCTACTGTATATTATAATCTATATATACATAAATTTAAAAGTAAACACTGATAATATTTTACATTCTCGTTCTGTCGTTACTTGTTCTATGCGACTTTGTTATAGTGTGTTACATTTACACATGTTGGATAGGTTGGTAGGTAAAAAGGAAAAAAAAAACATTCATCCTACGTTTTAAGACTTCGTAAAAAATGTTGAAGAACGTAAGAAATTCAGTACGTAAGCTGTATTTAAAAATTGAATAAAAATTTAAAAAAAAATTTTTTTTCAAAATTTACTAATTTACCGAATTCCACGTGAATTTACGTAAATTTTACCGGTAAATTTACCAAAAAATTTTTACTGGTAAACTCCACACCTCTGATAACGCGTACGGCGCACGCGTGTTCGCAGGCACCGTTTGCATACCTTTGAACCACCTGTGCGCCGACAACGGGAGCGGTCACTTGAGAGTTCCGGCGGCCCACTGGAGGCAGTCGAGAAAGCACGGGTCCGACAGCAGCGTCGGCGAGGCGAGCACCAGCAGCTTCAGCTTCAACACGACGGCGGCGGCGGCGGCGGCGGCGGTGGACACGGTGACGGGCAGCAGCAACGCGAGCAGCGCCGGCAGCCGGAGGACCGTGCACGGAGAAAATGCAAATTCCGTGTCCTGACGACGACCGTCGCGGGACGACCGACCGGACCTCGGCCCCCGTCGCCGTCGGTCGTCGTCGACCGGTGCCACTACTCCGAGGAACGCGGCCGCAGCGCAGCAGATCTGGATCTGATGACCGAGTTCGTGTCCATGGCCGCGGCCACCGCGTGACTGCGGCCACGGAACCGGAGACGGCGGTGGCTGTTCGTCGTGACGCGTACCACCGTGGTCCGCGGTGACGACGCGTCTCGCGACGGACAAGCAAAACGCGATTCAACATTACTATTATAATCATCGTTATTATTATTATTATTATTATTAAAGACCGGATTTAATAGATATTGCAACTTTTTATCGACAACCAGGTAAATCAAATCTGATCAAATACGTATACGAATCGGATTCCTTACAGTCTTCCTGTTTAATTAAACGATTTCGCAATTTTTGTATACTTCACGTGATAGTATATACAGATTATTATTTCTAAAGTAATTTCACGATAAAAATACAACTACAACGTACATGTTTACATGTAGTTAAATGAAATTTAGCATTTTTAAAAATTATATTTATCAGAGGTATCCATAAAACTCAAAAGTTTAGAAGAATCAAATAGTCAATTACTTAATAATTTAATCATATTTAGAGTGAAATTGATAATATTTCGATAAATATTCCCGATAAGATAAATTAAAATATGTCTTAGAAAAAAATTAATGATATAAAACTATTAAAACTTAATCCGAGATTATGACAGGAAATCAAAATTGTAATTTAGATATAACACCAACATTTTTAAATTATTTTAAATATGCATCGATAACAAGTATAGACGTTGAACGTACTTTTTTATTGTATAGACATACTTTAAGTAACAGAGGATACAATTTTCAAGGACACAATTTAGAGATGTATATAATTATAAATTTTAATTCAGAAAAATGATATATTTTGTAAATATTATATTAATATCCATAATATTATTTAAGTGAATAATTAATGAATATATTTGATATGATTTTACTATGTAATTTTACCATCTTTTTAGTGCAGTTATATCCGGTCTTTAATTATTATTATTATTATTATTATTATTATTATTATTATTGGACGATATTTACGGTATTATTAACAATGATATTATCCTCATGTACACGTGTGAACAAACACGTTTTACGTGCGTTAAGCGTTTATTTTATATTTTTTCTCCTCCCTAAATACGTTCCCGGTGCCGCCCCAAATTCTGACGCATTGCACGGAAACAGGAAGAGACTTGCTGGAATGAGATGGATTTCTACCTCACGGTTACATTACCGATTAGGTTAGGTTAGGTCCACACTTTGGACCCAGTTACCGTCGTAGTTGTTTCCTATACACTTACTTATTCGAATTGTTCGTTTCGCGAATATTTCCCAACACATCGTACAACCACTTAAATGTGGCGATTCCTCGTCCACGCGATGCTGTATACGTATTACTGTAGTCAGAAAACCTTCGGTCAAAAAGATAAAATAAAAAATTGTACAAAACATTAGGATTGAATGGTTGTCTCGTTCTACTTTTTCGAGCAAAATATTTTTTATTCGTGTGGTACTGTATTTCTGATTTTTTTTTTTTTTTTTTTTTTGATTTTTAAGTCTGTGGGGGCCTATTGAAAAACGTTACACTGTTCTCGGAATCGGACCGATACACTAGTGGCTGGTACGTGGATAATTTAAAAAAAATTCGTTCTGGATGAAAGAATGATAGAGAGGTTAAGCGACCTCAAATAGTATTCGATTACTTCTCCACAACGATATCATCTTGTAAATATATTGTATTTGAACACTTTGCACATTTTGATCAGCGTACTACGACAAGCTGACATAGGATGACTGCGTGTGAGCGTAGAGCCATTGATGAATGGGTTCACTTGCGGTTCACGCGTAGACACACTTGATCGAACAACTGACCATTACATGGGCATGGTTTTAGCCGGTACAAGAACATTGCGGTGCAACGTTATTGTGGAAAGGGAAAAATATTGTTAAGTTCTCTCTACGTAGTGTAACCGATTTCCAGCATAGGTTTTATAAACATTTCACAGTCACATTTTCTATAAGAACGTACAGTAAAATTTCATTAATCCGGACCCCATTAGTTCGGACAGTAAATTACGCTAGTTTAATCCGTGAACTAACATAAACCTGAAAACGAGTTCTACAAATTTCCCATAAATGTGGTTTATCGGAGAAGGAGATTGTAGAAAGTATAATGGTTGTAGAAAGCTCTGGAACGGATGAATATGATTAGAATGAAACATTTGATAATGTCAACCATAAGCCGAGACTTACTGAAATTAAGGTCATCTAAAAATTGTCATTATATACGATGAAAATAATAACGATAGAAACATGTCTGCGTATTATGAGCATCTAACCTAACCAAACCAGCGTGAATTATTCATTTCAGAAATCACCTTGAAAAGAAAACAACAAAGTATTAGTAGTTTCTTCAAATCAGTAAGCATGTCAAGTGTGGTAAATTACTTTGTGCTTTAATATTTAATGGTTGAATGTACTTTATAACGATTTGTTTTAGGTCTAATATTTTATTGGATTGTATCTTGTATAATATTATATTTAGTAGAATTTTATTAAATTTATAAAATACGATTTTTGGTTATTTTATTTAATCCGGACTTTCATCAATTCGGACAATCTAGAGTCTCAATTAATCCGAATTAATGCGGTTCTACTGTATATAGACATCATAACAATTTTTTTGTGCATAATGATTGAGAAATCACCGAAAAGCGTATAAATGGTGAATCTTTTTTACAATTATATTTACTTATTTCATTCTTCCGCGCTCAACTCTACATGGGCCCGTTCTCTTATTTTAGTGATATTTTTAACACACTTGCGTATAGACAATTTAAATAATATTGCAAATTACTCATCAGTTTAAAAACTCTAACAATATCGGATATTATTTTAATTAAATTATCTTTGTTTTACAATATGTATATCCTCGTTATTGTTCAATAATTGTTTTCTACTTGAATAACTTCGTGCAACGTATTATAAAAATACGTTGTTTTATTGTAAAATATTTTGTTCCATCATTACGTGAAAAACATCGTATGAAATAATTTACTCCTCTACGAGTTGTGGATATATTACTAAAATATTATGTGGCTCATTGTCTCTACAATATAATTATCATTATTATTTTATGAATCGAACATTAGATAACATTTTATTCCATATGGTCCTTTACAAATTTCAAAGTTTTCAATAATTTTTGTTCGGTACCATTCAAATTATAACAATTCAAAAAAGTATTATGATGGTTATTCATCATGAATTATCAAACTAAAAAATAATTATAATAATAATAAGTGTAAATTTAAAATATTTAGAATCGTGATTAATACTTCTATATAAATCAATAAAATCATATTTTTATCACACTCCTTCAAATCGCGTCGAAGTAAAAATAAATATAATAACTTTTTGAATAAGTACGTGCGTCTGAAAACCTTTCGATTGAAATAAATGAATACATATTTATGCTGGTCTAGAATTAACTTACTAGTTTATAATTGCATTGTATTTCTGAAAAATGAAATTAATCGATGATTTACGAGTATTATTCGTATTGAAATAATATTTTATTCCAATCAAGTGTTCGTTAAGAGAGATTGAATTTCGTTTTCATATAGAACGACTAAATTATTTGTAATCATAATCGTAATACATGTACAGAGTGATGTTTTCTCTGCAGTAAGACGAGCGAATAATTTGGCTGGAACGACGTACGCGAAAAAAATCTCACAGAGAGAGTAAATTTCAGTATCATATAATATTATTTCTGAAGGCAATAAAAATTCCACCACATCCATATGGTGTCTATTGCAGAAAACGTCCATTTCAACATTAAATCATTAACTTTATAATGTATATACACCCCTCTAAATACGGTACTATTCAACCTACCCCACTGGATGTGTGTAAACAGTAATTCAATAAAATTAATTAATCATTGATTAAATTGATGATTTTAATACGCCATTCGTTGCTGATAGGCTGTAATTATATTTATTTATTTTTTTGGACAACGATCGGCTTAAGTCCTAACTCACCCCTACCCTATCCACATATTGCTTCTTCCATTACATCCGCTACGTAGTCCGTGAGGATTAGTTACGTGATTTTAATCCATTACACAAATCCTTCGTACGGGTCGTTGATGCGGTGTAAACGTATTCAAGTCCTCGTTTTACAGTTAATACCTTCTCCGTTCAATTAAACGTCACCGTTTTGTGACTGCTGTAGGAAATTGAAAACCTTTTGCATAAATATCAACGGATAATCAATTACTGATTTCTGTATTCTTAATTCAGATACGATTTTACTTATTTTGCATGCATTCATATATCGATTCGGCAGCATTCATTAGTTCAAAATCAAAACAAATCGATACAAGCCATACACGAAAACATGTTTTCATTAGTACCTACTCATCATTGATTTTAGAATATACGCATGTGCTTGATGTTAGTAAAAATACCACATTCTAGATCAAAAATTTCACTTAAACGGTTTACTTAATAGTTCAGCAGAACTATAATATCGAACTACAAACATTTATAAGACTGTAGAATACATATTTAAAAAATATATAAATCGTTTTAAAATAATAACATCGTATATATTTATATTTATATAGTGTTTTTTCAACAATATCTGAACCGTCTATATATTTATATTTTAATTATATTTAACAAAAATCTATAGAAATTTTCGATCTTCTGATATTATAATTTAAAAAAGGAATTTGTCACTTTTCAAACATCTAACAAAATACTTATTATTAAAAAATTAATACAATTTTCAATATTAGTTTTTGGTTTGTTTAATTTAACACTTAATTAAAAAAAATAATTTCTGACTGAGTATGCGTTTTAATAATTTAGAGCATTTTAACTTTTTGATGAAATCGAAAATAATGTTTGCTATCAATATTTTTTTTTAATGACTCTAATTTAATGAATACTTAATCAATCTTATATGTATCATATTCAATTAAAATATTTATGAAAGATAATATTTTTTGGTATATTTTTTTAATGATACATGTCACAAACAAGTCACAAAATTGTAAACCATATTTGAAAGAAGAAAATATAACTCAACGAACGAACTAAAATATTTTTATAACATTATTATTATGTTTATAGTATTTGTTTTCGGTTTGAATATTTTAACCATCTTTTTTTTTTTTTTTTTCAACGGGACATGGGTGGGAGCTGCTTTCTCATTACGACCGCCCGAGTCCCATTATTTATTAAAGGTTATACAAAACAACTTGAGTCGTTTCTAGGACATGTTCCATTAACGAGCCCTTACAGAAAACAATATTTTTCACAAATATAAGGGGCCTCTAATCCCTATGGTCGGCCTTCGGTCTATAAAAGTAATTTTAACTAACTTTAAAATCTTTCAACTATTCCTTGACGCATTCGTTCGGCATCCTCCTTGTTCTTCATAACTTCCTCTGCAAAGTTTTCTACGGCTTCCCAGTTATCACGGTTTTCCAACATTTTTGCCACTATGTTGGCCTG